AGTAAATGCTTTAAAAGTATTAATTATGTCCTATTTGGAATAAATGTGTTCCTCTCCTGGGGCCATCAAACATCAGAGGAGGCAGACTGAGTTAGTTGCTTGTTGAAACCTGCTCTTGCTATGAATGATGTCCTGGTAAAATGACAGCTCAAACATGAGAAGCCCGTTTCTCTTAATCACATCCTGCACTTGAACTTAAGTGTAACCATAGGCACCAATTGCCTTGAAAATAGCCGTATGGATAGTTGGGTATAACTATTTTCCAAAAGTAGGCTGTGGATAGAAATATTTTCACTGACATATAATTTTTAAGAGTCAAAATCCCATGACCTTTCCTTCCATGGGCTCCTTTACTTCCCTTTCCCTGAAAACTTTCTCCTTCAAAATATAAGCCCTTTGGGAGATGTGGCATCTGACTTCAAGAGAAAATTTGGAACATAAACAGCTCCCAAGGATTAGTTGATCACTAATCAGATGCAGGGTCGGTTTTCACAGCTTGCTTGTCACCCCTGAACACACAGCCCACATGTAACAGCCCCTCACTTTGTGCTCTTTTGACTACTGAGACTAAAAATAAAAGTCATATCAAATAGCGAAAGCATTTCCGAGGTCAACAGTGTTGACATTTTACATATACACTCTTCATTTTGCCTGCACAGTACATTTAAACAATTCCTAAGCAAAGTGCACCAATAGCTATGTTCATGTTCTAAATTTCTTACAACCTAAGGCCTTCAGAGCAATCACAGTATAGACAATATGCTCACTCAGTCTAACAATAGGAGAAAGAGAAGCCAAGCTTGTTTCTGTCGCATTTCCATTCTCATCTCTAATTTTATTATTTATTTATTTATTTTTGCTATTGTTTGTTGGGAAAGCAAATTATATTGGAGAACTCATTTATATCAACCTACTTATACAAATTTAAGTTTGAAAAGTGAAATGAGGAGCAAGGTGTCGGTAGGTTCACGCCTGTAATCCTAGCTACTCAGGTGTCTGATATCTAAGGATCACGGTTCAAAGCCAGCCGGGGGAGGAAACTCTGTGAGACTCTTATCTCCAATAAACCACTCAGAAAACCAAAAGTGGCACTGTGGCTCAAGTGGTGGAGTGCTTACCTTGAGCTGAAGAGCTGAGGGATAGAGCCTAGGTCCATAGTTCAAGCCCCATGACTGGCAAAAAAAAAAAAAAGAAAAAAAATTGAAACTACTATTGAAAGTACTATGTACTTTATTGATATGATCTTCTCTCAGTATCCACATATTTTGTTTTAGATAAAGGCGTGGAAGGGAGGTCTTAGATTGCCTTTCATTTTCTTTCTTTCGTTATTGTGTTGGTTGTGGGGCTGGAACTCTGGGCCTGGGCGCTGTCCCTCAGCTCTTCAGCTCAAGGCGAGCGCTCTACTGCTTGAGCCACAGCACCACTTCCTGCCTTTCATTTTCATTACTTACTATGGGTCTATTTACTTGGTTCAGATCTTCTTGGTATAGTTTGGGTAAATTGATGTTCTCTAGGAATGCTTCCATTCATCCTAGATTCTCCAATTTGTTGACAAAAAGTTTGTAAAATATTCTCTTATAATATTCTGAATTTTGCTTGTTTCTGTTGCATTTCCATTTTTGTCTCTAATTTTATTTTATTTTATTTATTTTTGGCAGTCCTGGGGCTTGAACTCAGGGCCTGGGCACTGTCCCTGAGCCTCTTTGTGCTCAAGGTTAGCTCTCTGCCACTTGAGCCACAGCCCCACTTCTGGCTTTTCTGAGTCGTTTATTGAAGATAAGAGTCTCACGGGGACTTTCTTGCCTGGAGTGGCTTCAAACTGCAATCCTCAGATCTCAGCCACCTGAGTAGCTAGGATTTCAGGCATGAGCCACCTGTGTCTAATTTTATTTATTTGGGTGAGTTCTCTTCTTTTTTGGTCAGATTTGCTAAAGGTCTATCAATTTTGTTAATTTTTCAAAGAACCAGCTATTTGTTCCATTAATCCTTTCTGTAGTTTATTGGTCTCTAAATCATTTATTTCTGTTTTAATTTTTATTTTTGTTTCCATCCACTGGTTTGGGGTTTGATTTGTTCCTGTTTTTCAAGGAAACTTGAGATGCATCAAGATGTTAATTTGAAATTTCTCCAATTTGTTGAAATAGGCACTCAGAGCTATAAATTTTCCTTTGATTATCCTAAAGGAGCTAGTCTTTTGTGTATTCATTTATGTTAAATTCCATTTCTCTTCTGATCTCCACAATGATAAAATGATCATTCAGCAATGTGTTGTTCAGTCTACATGAATTAGAGCATTCTCTGTGATAGCTTTTGCTGTTGAGCTCTAATTTTATTCCATTTAGATAGGATGCAGGGAATAACTGCATTTTTTTGGAAATTTGTAAAGATTTATTTTTGTGACCTAATATATGATTTATTTTGGAAATATTCCATAAGCTGTTGAGAAGAATGTATATTCTGATGCAGCTGGGTGAAATATTCTGTAGATGTCTGTTAAGACTAGCTGGATAATGCAGTTATTTAGATCTAAGGGGTTTTTTTTGTTTGGTTTTGGTTTTTGTCTGTCATGGGGCTTGAACTCTGGGCCTAGGCATTGTCCCTGAGTTCTTCAGCTCAAAGTGAGTGCTCTACCACTCAGGCCACAGTGTCATGTCCAGATTTTTCTGACTAGTTTTTTGGGGATAAGAGCTGTTGCTTAGCTTTTTTGGTTTTTTTTGTCAATTGTGGAGAAAAGTCCGTGAGACTCTTATCTCCAATAATCCACTTGAAAAACAGAAGTGACACTGTGGCTCACACAGTAGAGCGCTTGCCTTGAGTTGAAGAGCGGAGGGACAGTGCCCAAGCCCAGAGTTCAAGCCCCACGACCGACAAAAAAAAAAAAAAAAGTTTAATGGACTTTCCTGCCTGGACTAGCTTTGAACCACAATCCTCAGATCTCAGCCTCCTGAGTAGGATTACAAGCAAAGTCTGTGTTTGTGTGTGTGTGTGTGTGTGTGTGTGTGTGTGTTGCAGAGTTTCTGCCAGGATGATCTATCCAGAGGTGATGACCATGTGTTCAAGTTGCCAACAGACAATGTGTTTGGATCTATGTGTGTTTTTAGGTCAAGGTTTGATGGAGTTGGGTGTTACAACATTTGGTACATACGTATTTAGAATTGTTATAGCTTCCTGTATGAAAATAATGTAATGTCCTTCTTTGTATCTTCTAACTAATTTTAATTTGAAGTCTATTTTATTGGGTATTAGTATTACTATGCCAGCCTGTTTATGGGGGTCATTTGCTAGAAAGATTTTATTCCAGCCTCTTACTTTGGGAATGTGTTTGTTTTTGTGATTCAAGATGTGTATCTTGTAGACAACAGCTGGATGGGACTTGCTTTTTGATCCAACTAGTCAGTCGATGTCTTTTAATTGCAGAGTTAAGTCCATTGATAAGGAGAGTAGTAAGAAGTGTTTGGTAGCTCCTGCCACATTATACACCTTCCTAGGGGCTATGCCTAATCTATTTTAACTATGTTTATCATATCCCTCATAATAATATTAAGCAAAGTAAGCCAGACCCAAAGAAACATAGGTTACCTGGTTTCCCTCATTTGGGGTAACTACAATGTGCCAAAAAAAAATCTACAAGTAGGCACGCTGAATGATAAAAGAAAAAACAAAACAACAACAACAACAAAAAACAGTGGGACATGATAAAGTATACAGATTTCTAAGCATTCATACAGATTGAGACCAAAGGAGGATGTTCTTAGGAGAGGCGTCACATAGGTGCAATGGCTATGTATATCTGATCTGTACTATTTGGGGGTGGGGAGTGGGGGGAAGGATAGTAGGAGAAAAAACATGTTAACTTACTTATGTAACTATATCCCCTCTGTACTTCCCTTGACAATAAAACAAAATAATACTTATTGAAATGAACTTCAGGAAGTGGAAACAAGAGGTTTTGTTCTTCATGTTTTTGTTCTCATTCCCTTTTGTCTTGTTTCTTCATTTATCTATCTTTGGGAGCGTAAGGAGGGTACACAGAAATGGTGGGACAATGGGTGAACAAATGCAGCAGGGGGACTCACCCCAAATGAACTATCCAAATTGTGGGTGGGACAGTAGGAAAACACTGGGAGAGAATAAGAGGAGTGACACTGTTAAAAAAGAACTGTACTCTTTATCTGACTTGTGTAACTAGAACCCCTCTGTATATCTTCTTTACAATAACAATACATGAATAAAAAATTTTAAAAAATTCTGTGATGTTGATATCAGACTGTTCAGTGTTAAGTTACTATCTTCCCAAAATGAAGATAAATTTAATCAGTGAAATAGCGCCTGCAAATGACTTTCAGAATCACTGCAGTCTTATTCAAATAAGTTATACAGAGATGATCAAATATAAGATAATTATATATTCAACCATTTTTCTTTTTGTCCCAGTTACTTCCTTTGATGGCATAAAAATAAACTAGGCACCGGTGGCTCATGCTCACCTGTAATACTAGTTACTCAGGAGGCTGAGATCTGAGGATCAAGGTTCAAGCCGGCCTGGGTAGGAACGTCCATAAGACTGGAAGTGACACTGTGGCTCAAATGGCAGAGTTCTCACCTTGAACTGAAGAGCTTTAGGGGCAGTGTCCAGGCCCAGAGATCAAGCCTGACAAACAATTTTTTAAAAAGGCATAAATGTACTCATGAAATACCTCCTTAATAATTTCTTAGTTTTAATCATTATTTAAATTGTATCACAATAATATTATCTTTATCGATACATCCTGATTTGTATCACTGCACAACAGTATTTTGAAGCTGCAACTATTCTAGTCTATTGCTTGGTTATTGCCTTCAGAAGGTAATCTAATTGAGCAACTAAGAGCTGCCCAAGATGGTAGCACAGTATTTTAAAATAGTGTTCATAGTAAGGTATATGTGCTATTTTTAAAATGTCACTGCAATGCCTGCTTTCTGTATTCTTGCCAGTGTTTAATTTGTACATTTGTTTGCAGAAGACTGCTGGACACTGAAGATGAGCTTAGTGACATTCAGACTGATTCAGTCCCCTCGGAGGTCCGGGACTGGTTGGCTTCTACCTTTACACGGAAAATGGGGATGACCAAAAAGAAACCTGAGGAAAAGCCAAAATTTCGAAGCATTGTCCATGCAGTCCAAGCTGGCATCTTTGTGGAAAGGTAAGGAAATGTGTGTGTCAGCACAACAAAATCTGAAAGGTAACAAATATGTTCACGATATTAAAGCTAGGGAAAACCTCTAGTTTACCTACTGAGGAAAAGGGCTTCTTAATTATAACAGAAAGAAAAAGGTGTGGGAGTTTGTGATAAACTCACTTATTTTTTAAAAAAACAACAAAACTAAAGGCTTTTGTTTTAAAAATAATTAGAACACATTCGGCTGTTATAGAACTAACCTTGTCTGGATCAAGTGTAATATATACTACAACATGAATTCTACTATGGGTTAGCAATCTACAGTCATTGGGCATTTTTTTGCTTCTCTATCTTACCTTTATGTCATGAGAAAAAGGTTTTGGTTGTTGTTTCCACTTTTGAGGGTTTTGTTTCATTTGGTTTTGGCTTCAGTTTCTGTATGTGGTTGTCATTTGACATTTCTGTCAATGAAATGAGTGCACCCCTCCACCCCACACCACTAGAGTCAAATCACCAGCTCCCAATGTGAAACACATATTTTTATGACCCAATTTTCCTTTCTTTTAATTTCTAAGAGCGCAATTTACTTTTCATTCTAGGAAACAAGATGTTTCATTACAAAAAGTACAACCATAGACCCAAAACAAAAAAAAAACAATAAAATTGAGAAGTAGATATCAGAAATCCTTTCGATTAAAAATAATTACATTGTTGTATGTCAAAAAGTTTTGTAAAATAATTTAGCATTTCAGAAACATAGGAAATCATGGAATGGATACATTTTTGTGTATATACCAGGCATGACTTCCAACAAAAGGAACAATGGGGGAAGGATACTTGGGTTACTAAATTGTGAATAAGAGTATATTACAAGAATAATTTTAAGATGAAGCCTCTAAGATCTTGTGTTGTGAAGATATCATCTAAAATACTTGATTATTGAAGTTGTTTTGCAGATTTCTTAGCCATATATAATGGGCTTATGTAAAAGAACCTTAAAAGTGAATAGTCTGACTAGCTTGATAATGCCATAATCCTATTCTAATTCTGGAGCTTTTGCCCATAAATCAGAGGCAAGAAACCAAGCTGAGACAAAGAACATCTGAGATAACAACTTAAAAAATAAAATAAAATGAATTTAACTGCATGTGTAACAGTTACTGATTTTAAAATATCTAAATAGTATTTCAGGAAGTCAGTAAGAGAATCACAAATGAATGAATATATTTTATTTTCTGCAGCAATATATATATGTGTATATATATATATATATATATATATATATGTATCTTCTTTAAGAATATAGTGTAGAACTTCACAAACTGAAAAAAATGTAAACAGTGCATGAAAACCAAGACAATCTGCATTTCCATTGAGAATATATATTGTATTCACAAAATGCTTTGTTAAATGGCAACTTCTTTGTACAAGTTCTTAAAGATAATTAAAAATGGGGGCTGGGAAGGTGGCTCAGTGGTAGAGGGCTTGCCTTGCATGCATGAGGCCCTGGGTTCAATTCCTTAGCACCACATAAACAGAAAAAGCACTGTGGCTCAAGTGGTAGAGCACAAGCCTTGAGGTGAAGAGCTGAGGGACAGCGCCCAGGCCCAGAGTTCAGGCCCCATGACCGACAAAAAAAAGAAAGGAAAGATCTTAAAATGATGCACTAAGAAAAATAGTGAAGAAGAATTCATGAAAATAATATTTGCAGCCTAAATTTCCATTTCTTTTTGTGCTACCGAAACCAATCAGATTATAGAAATAGCAAAATGTACATGAAGTAACTAAATTTTAGTCAATCTTTTTTTTTGGGGGGGTCCGGTTGTGGGGCCTGGACTCTGGGCCTGGGAGCTGTCCCTCAGCTCTTCAGCTAAAGCCTAGCACTCTACCACTTGAGCCACAGCACCACTTCCGTGTTTTTTCTTTTTGCTTATGTGGGACTGAGGAATCGAACCCAGGGCCTTGAGCATGCAAGGCAAGCGCTCTACCACTGAGCCACTTTCCCAGTTCCAGTCAATCTTAAATATAATATGGGAAGTGACACTGTGACTTTTTCATAGAAACTAAATAATATGTCTCCTATACTTTTAATAGATGGAATAGTGATTCAGAGTAGTGAGCATTTTCCACTGAGTTTAGATGCAGAGAATTTTCTTATATTGATCATTTTCATGAATATATATATGTAAATTATGATGTTGTCCAGGAATTTTGGGTGAGTGGAGAGGAAGTCTGAATACAAATTATATGCTTGCTTTAATTAATTAAATTAAATTATCATAAGTTAGTCTTTCAGACTTTATTGGTAAGGCTCTGAGGTATTCAACATAATTGTTAAAAATACTTTATGTAAACAAAGTAATTATTGTGTTCTAGTATATAAAACTTTATTTCAAAACACTAAAAAATTAAATAAATGCTAAACAAATTATTTACTCCCAAGAATTTTGGAGGAATCATGAATCTTACAGGGTATCAAATAAAAACTATCTGGGCTCGAGTGATACATAGAGGTGTTTTTATATTTGATATGTCATTTTGGTTGCCCAGGATAAAATGAAGAGTAAAATTACTGATTAATAAAAATATTTTTGTTATTATGGAAATGAGAACATTTTCTTTCTAAATTCTTTTTATTAAATAACTTTGACATTTTGAGAAAACTTACAAATTTTTGTCAATATAATCTCCTCTTAAGAACAAAAGGGAAACAGTGTAAATTCTAATGATGGTATGTGTTCCTTCCTAAATTTCCATTTTTCAAAAAAAGAAGAGAGAAAAGAAAGAAAGAAGAAAGGAAGGAAGGAAGAGAGGTAGAATGAAAGAAAGAAAGAACAATGAAATGAACAGAAATCAAAAGAGAGAAAGGAAAGGAGAGAGAATGAAGGAAGAGTAGGAAGAAGAGAGTGAGAAAGAAAAGAAAGAAGGAAAGAAGGAAGAAAGAAAGAAAAGAAGGAAAGGGAAGGAAGGAACGAAGGAACAAAGGAAAAAGAACAATCTATAAAAGGAACTTGGTCATGATACTCAGTTTCTAATTTATATTTTGACTTATAAATGGACAAAACAAGAATACACTGCTGTCATCTATATGGTAGCATTAAAGAAAGTGCTCTTTAAATATGCAAAGTAGCCTCTATCTTAATTAAATGAAGTATAGGGTAAAGTATACTTACGTGGAAGCTAAAATCACTTTGCAGTGTGTTTGTGAGTATGCAAAATGCTATTAATAACTGTCACACTGTAGAAAGACATAAGTTGGCTATAATTATTTTCACCACAAAGGGAATATATAGCTAATGATATAAAATAAACAAGTCAAGTATAATCTTTTCCTATATTTCTAAAAATAACATTAAATAAATAAAGTTTACATATATATATATATATATATATATATATTTGTCTTTTTTAGGATGTACAGAAAAAGCTACCATGTGGTTGGCTTGGCATATCCAGCTGCTGTCATTGTAACGTTAAAGGTAAAATACTTTTAATTATTCTTTTCATTCACTTTTTCATTTATGAAATAGTCATTTAAAAAATCATCTTAGCCTCAGTATTGAGACAAGGCCTAGAAGAAAATCAGTCTTCTTCATAATCTGCATATTGGAACCTCAAAATTATTTTAACCAGTTACAACATATAATACATCTCAAACCATGAGATACATGAAGATTAACTTGCCAGTATATTTGTGTGTGTGTGTGTGTGTGTGTGTGTGTGTGTGTGTAATATCTTTATCTTCATGTTTTATTTAGGTAGATTTTTAATTCCATTTTAAGATGGCACTTTTACTTGTCAGGATATACACAGTTGTTTTCATGTATCATGGTAGCATTAAATTAATTATAAAAGAGATATTTTAGTTTATGTTGAAAGTACAAAAATTATATAGAGCAAAATTATTTAGAACCTAAGGTAGGTTGAAGGAAATGCAATATAAAAGGTAAAATTAAGAAACAACATGAAGCCTGGTACTGGTGGCTTGCACCTGTAATCCTAGCTACTCAGGAGGTTGAGATCTGAGGATCAAGGTTCAAAGCCAGTGTGGGCAGGAAAGACTATGAGACTCTTATCTCCAGTAAACCACTAGAAAACCAGAAGTGGTGCTGTGGCTCAAGTGGCAGAGTGCTAGTATTGAGCTGAAGAGCTTAGGGACAGCACCCAAGTCCAAAGTTCAAACCCCATGACCGAACTAAAAAAAAAAGGAAAAGAAAAAAAGAAAAGAAAAGAACAAGAAATTGATCATCTCTTTGGCTTTTCCTGAGATGACCCTATCCTGAGGTATATGTATTAGGAACAATGAGAGTTGAAGCTGAAATGACAAAGTTGTGGACCCTTTTCTCTCACTTTGTGTGTGTGACATTCATGAACATATGATGCTAAATGTTGTTAGACACTTTGTCAGGTCAGCCTTTTAAATGCCTTTCTTTCTGTTTCTCAGTTTGGTTGTGGGAACTCAACTTTGCCTCCTAAAACAACGTCAAAGCATCCAATAAAGCAATTGGATTGCTTTATTCAGATGTATTATACCCTTTAACTATGTTAGATTTATGTTGCTTATTTTTATGTTTTAGTTTTCTTTTTAGCGCCTTCTTCATTTATTTTCTCTGTTGCATATTAGATGTGAATCTTACTGACTTAAAAAGGTAGATCATTTTTATTGGATGCATTTAAATATATATTTGTACAACTACAACAACAACAAAAAAACCTGTCACTGAAGTGTCATATAAGGATATATCAATTACTCCTCCATTTTTTGTGAAATGCATTTTCTATTTTTCTCATCTATGTTCAACTGTTACATATTTCTTGTTTTATTTATTTAAAAATCTTTGTTTAAAAACTAAATATCTTGTTAGACAAGAACCTAGTAGTTTTTCTAAAACGTAGTTTAGTTGAAACATATGAACAAAAGGTTGGAAAAAGGAAATTCCTCCAAGGAAAGGATATTTTAATTAAATAATTTATTCTCTGAGAAGCATTGTCTTGTTTGTTCAGTCTGCAGCATCTGCAGTCATTTACAAATGTAAATCATCCTTGTTTATGAAACTCCCCCAGAAACAGAGAGCTGACACCTTACTCAGTTGGAAACCCCCAGTTGGAGTTGTAAATAGCAATCTTAAAATTCTGAACTAACTTTTCCATGTTAGCTTTGGAGTTTGATAAAAGATTGCTTGGCCTCCTTTGGGATTTACTAATGGTAAAAAATTTCCCTAACTGAATGTTCAGAAAAGATTTTCAATTTAAAAGGGATAAACCAAGTGTTTGGGCATCCATCTGAAGACAAGTGTAGAAATTTCACAATGCCATACAAGTACAGCAAGAAATACTTCTTTGCTGATTAAAACTACCATTAGAGGCTGATCACTATTTCTTGCAAAAGAGTCATTTTTAAAAGCAAGTTTTTGGAATACTATTGATCAGATTTCACCAGTCTAGTTTACCATGTTATAGTACATAGCATTGGCTTTCAGAAGAAAGATAATTTTTTATTGTTTTTTTAAATAAGGTTTTTATTGTCAGAGTACTGTACAGAGGAGGGGTTACAGTTACATGAGGAAGGTAATGAGAACATTTCTTATTCAGCATTGTTGTCTCCTCCTTTGTTTTCCCCTTCCCATCCCTTTGCTCCCATCTCCACAACTATACTCCCCCCACCCTCCCACATACCTCCTCATTACTCCCACTCCCCCACCCCCGCCTTATTTGTAAAGTTCTTTTTTTGACATAGTGTCTTGTATATCTTGCTGCAATGGGTCAACTTGTATCCCTGTTTAATGGTGAAAATTTTTAAATAATGAAATTCGGAACACTCACTGTTTAAATGCCAACTGTCCCTTTACTCTTCAGTACTAAACCTGTTGTTTCAACCTTAGAATTCCTTTACTAAGAGCTCAGTCCATCCTTAGATGTCTGACATAATACAATACTTGATTTTAGCACCGAATAGAGTACTTCTTTCCATTTTTTAAAAAAGCAACATTGTGATTTAATTGAAGAGGTTGGGATATTTACCTGCAGTGGTTGCATATCTCTGCTTACTGCCTCATCTGCTGCTATTACTGATTTTCTACAGGTCTTCCTGCTTTCCTAGGGAATTTCAGGAAAGGGCAACTTTACTCTGCTCTTCTTCAGTACCAAGATCCACTTCTTTTTTTCACCATCTGTTCCTTGAGAAACATATAAATGAGGCAGCCTGGGTCAGAGTAAGTGATCAGGAAGTAAAATACCTCTCACTGTCTACATATCCTATAAGAAGATAGGTGATATCAAATCTTTAAACCAATTCTGAACTATTTCAAGCAATGCAGCATTTGAGTAGGTGAAAAAAATGGGGGGCTCTCTTCTCTTTATCCTCACCTTCTTGTCATGCACCTTAAAATGGGACCCATTCTGGGAAGCTGACTTACAGCAGGAACATGGAAACAGTAAAGGTAAAGACCACATTATAGTGTGTTCATTCCATCAATGTATTAAGCCTAACACATGTGAATTCTTGTCAAATGTGGTTCGATATGCTGAACTGAAATACCACCTGCTGGATGCACAAGGCTTAATCCTTAAAATAATGTTCACAAAATACAATAGAACTATGTAATCCTCTACCTAAAGTATTTACTCTTTTTATTTTCTTTATAGGATGTTGATAAATGGTCTTTTGATGTATTTGCCCTAAATGAAGCAAGTGGAGAACATAGCCTGAAGTTCATGATATATGAACTGTTTACCAGATATGATCTTATCAACCGCTTCAAGGTCAGAGACATGGAAAAATGTAAAATGCTCTTAAAATGAATTGCTTTAGATTGTTTCTAGTTAGCAGGTCACAGCCTAGGAAGGTTTTCTACCATATCCTACCCCTCCCTGACTTTTCTACATATCCATTTGGAGAACATTAGACCATGAGAATCTGACTCCAAATAAAATGCTGACATCCCCCACTTGTATGTAGAATACTCATCAAGAGACCGGAAGGTATGTCCTGAAGAATGATAGTTCTTCATAGTTCCTAAAACACTGCATGAACTTTATTGGTAGTTCTCTTCCTTCCTTCCTTCCTTCCTTCCTTCCTTCCTTCCTTCCTTCCTCTTCCTTCCTTTCTTCCTTCCTTCCTTCCTTCCTTCCTTCCTTCCTTCCTTCCTTCCTTCCTTCCTTCCTTCCTTCCTTTCTTTTCTTTCTGTCTGTGTTTGTCTTTCTTTCTAGAAAGAGTCTCACTATATATGAGAATTTAGGCTTCCCTGAATTTTCTGTCCTCCTACCTCAGCCTCCCAAGTGCTAGGATTATAGGCTTGTGCTACCCATTATGGCTTATTGACAGCTTTTCCTAAGCTGAAATGATTGGGATTATAAATCACTTCATTTCAACACATCTAATCTATAGATTTGATCTATACTTTTGAACAGTCTGCAGCTTATAAATCAGGGCATTTTTATAATTCAAAAGTACTGAAAGTTATATATTTTAATCCTTGTACTATGTGTAAGAAAACTATCGGTTTTCTATTTAATTGTAATCCAAAATTTTTACTTTTTAAGGTTTAGTCTTGGTCTAAGGGTATAGCTCAAGTGGTAGAATGCTCATGAAAGCCTGTGTTCAATTCCCAAACACTAAACTAGCCTATGGAAGATACAACAAATTGTAAACAATATGGTATGGGAAGGCTGCTATTTCATGTGGATTAAACACTTGAAGTTTCACTCTTGCTCAGGACTGAAAACTAACATGTTAGTTATCTAAATGATGGGAGGTTGTAGAACAATCCAAATTTAACTTAAAAGTAAAACAAACTATTGTCCACATCTGATTCATCAATGAGTCTCATCCTCAAATGCTGTGCTCACATTTATGTAGTGCTATGTTTTTGGCCAAAATATAACCATAATACTTTACTTTCCATAGATTCCTGTTTCTTGCCTAATAGCCTTTGCAGAAGCTTTAGAAGTTGGTTACAGCAAGTACAGAAATCCATATCACAATCTGATCCATGCAGCTGATGTCACTCAAACTGTGCACTACGTAATGCTTCATACAGGTATCATGGTAAGGAAGCCTTTTTGACAGAAGATTGTTAGATGGAAATATCAGATTGCATTCCCCAAAGTGCTCATGTCTCAATAATAGCCATGAACACATTATTTAGATTTTGAGTTATTTATGATATACATTTATTCAATCCAATGTCTTGAAAGCAAACACCAACACTGTTAAAACAATTTAATTCAATGAGAACGGATAGTTAATAATTAAGTAAATGTTACAATTACAGCAATTGGCCCTTCCAGTATTTTTTTCTATATGTAAATTCCTTTTCCCATTGGGATCTACAAAAAAAATAGCAAGAAAAAGAAGGCATGAAAAAGTCTTCTAAGTTTTAGTACTCTTCTCTCTTCCTCCACTCTTCATGTTCTGCTAAATTATCCCTAAGAGTTTTTCCTCTTTAACTTATATTGCTACTCACAATCAAATGCTGGTAAGAATTTGGAGGAATTATTCTTATAAAAATTTTCAAATGTTTTGCTGTTTGCATCTGAATGAGTCAGTGGATGAGTGGGCAGATGACTGAGCAATACACATCCCCGGAGAGCAGGGAGTATAAGACAGGACCTATGAGAAAACTTGGGACTTTATAATCTTAGAGCTAAGGATGACTCTAGAATGAGAAAAAGAAGGAGTGGCCCTCTTTCTAACGGTGTCATGTTAAGGTGGATTCAAAGGGAAGTAGACATGCTAATCTAGGCTGACACAATGACATAAGATGCCTGTAAATAGAATATTTCACCAAACTACATTCTGTAGTATGCCTAACTGCTTGGATTTTAGAAACCAAACCCTATCTATTGACACAGACCATCAACATTCAAATGTATATAACCTGTTCCTTTGAGACCCAGATTTCCTTGATACTACATCATTGTACATGAGTGACTGCATCTCTTGGATCACTTATTTTAGAATCTCAAAGATCGCACATGATTCTCCAAGGCTAGGATAGATAGGAAATTATCATCATCATGGTATTTTCCCCCAGACATCAACTCTGCTATTTACTATACATAAAAACTATTTGCAAGCCTGGTGCCAGTGGCTCACGCCTGTAATCCTAGCTACTGGGGAGGCTGAGATCTGAGGATCACAGTTCAAAGCCAGCCTGGGCAGAAAAGTCCGTGAGACTCTTATCTCCAATAAACCACTAGAAAACTGAAAGTGGCACTGTGGCTCAAGCAGTAAAGCGCTCCCCTTGAGCTGAAGAGCGCAGGGACAGCGCCCAAGCCCAGAGTTCAAGCCCCACAACCGACAAAAAAAAACAAAAACAAAAACAAAAAAATTATTTGCAATGGTTTTTCATCCAATAGTATTTTGTATGGTAACCAAAGTTGGTTACCATATAAAGTTGTCTGCTCTTCATTTTTTTTTAACCGCTTAATAAATTACACCAATCTTCATGTCATGTGTTGAGGTCCCATTCCCAATTCATTTTCCAATTTATCTAGTACACACACACACGCACACCCCTACACATACACATGTATAATTTATATGTACATATATATGTATATATGTAAATCAATGAATGCATGAATGGATGGCTGAATTAACAAGTAATATAGCTAACTAATTAGCTAACTTCCAAACTTAGCATCCCCCTTACAAACAATGATTTGTCTCTGTGTCTCAGATATTTGTGGAAAAATAAAACAAAATAAAAAGTCTGAACTAGAAAGCTCTCATTTGGGATTTGTCACATGCTTGTAGCAATCTAGCAACTAATGCTGCTGATGCTGAGAACATCTCTGGAAGACTTTCTTTTCATTTTCTTTCTTTCTATCTGTCTTTCTTTCTTTTTTGTTAGCCATGGGGCTTGAACTCAGGGCCTGGAGCTTTTTTGCTCAAGGCTAGCATTCTACTACATTGAACCACAGCACCACTTCTGTTTTTTTTTTAATTTATTTATTTATTTTTTATTTGTGAACATACTGTACAGAGGGGTTACAATTACATGGGCAGGATAATGGGTACATTTCTTACCAAGCATTGCAGCCTCCTCCTTTGGTTTACCCTTCACATCCCTTCCCAGCCTCCCTCCTCCCCCCCACCACTTCTGGTTTTATGGTGATTAGCTGGAGACAAGAGTCTCACAGGCTTGCCCTGCCTGGGCTGGCTTTAAAATGGGATCCTCAGATCTGAGACTCCTGAGTAGTTAAGGATTATAGGCATGAGCCACTTGCACCTGGCAAGAATTTTTTTCTTTAAATTTTACCATACCTCTGTAGTAAATAGTTTATGACAAAACTATGAAGTAATCTTTTTTAAAGAAAACTTTAAAAAATATTACATTTAAGCTTCTCCATGCTTCTCTTTCTAGCATATGTGCATTGCATATACTTATTGAGAAATTCTTCTGCAGTTTTTTTTAAATTTAATAAGGCTTCATTGTCACAGCTAATTCTGAACCTTTGATTTTATTTAGTTTGATGTGTGTAGTGTATTACTATTATGGAAACAAGGGAGCCCTGACTGCTGCTACTACTGTTTCACATGCAGAATTTTGCTTTAGCATCTTCCTGCTTAGAATTAGCTGCTTTCTGTGTTCTAAGGCTTTCGCCCTGAATGTGGTGGTGAGGTGAGTTTTCTGTCAAGTGTGGGAGACTTTTCTCTGTCCTAAATGTTATGGCTTCTAAAGAGTTAATTAAAAATAGTCAACTTAAGTGTGATTCTGAAATGGAAGCTGAACTAATTAGGCTTCCTCAGAACAAAATGAAATAGAAAAGTGATGCCTAGTTCAGTATAACAAAATATATTCTTAATTAGGAAGTGAAATGCAAAAGTATGTGCTATGTCAGGCTAGAGGTAACCACAGTTTATACCTTAAAATATATTCCTACTCAAGTGCCTTGATTTTGTTTTCATTTGCTTGCTGCTACAAGTATAAAGAAAGCCAAATAACGTTTTACCATTTTAACTCCAGAACCTTTGGTTTGAAGATTAAAATTGAAAAGATGGAGGGGAGTATCATATTAGCTTGTAAATAAGGAAATTCAAATGTAACTTTACCATCAGTTTTCTAAGGAAGACTTGTTGCAAAACATAATAAGCCATTATTAATAATAAGCCTCCTCCCTGCTTATTAATAATAAGCATCTGACCCAGCCACCATGTCTCCAAGAGAGTTGACTCCATCCATATTATCACATAGCCACTTTCTGAGATGGCTGTGACTTATACCTAAATGAAACTGCCCTTGCTTTAGCAAGATCAGGATGACAACTTGTTTCTGATTTTATTCATCCTTTTGTAAAAGTTTGTCAGTGGGCTCTTCTTTTATCCATTAGTTTGGCAGTTACAAAAATAGTCTTGATTGTAGACCTTTTGTTTCACCTAAATGCATTGGGAAAATGCATTCAAATCAAAGAGAATAGTAAGAAATTGTTATAATAGATGGTGAAAGAGAAGACAGAATGAATTCACAAATGTGTTGACAATTTTTGTCAAAACGAGGTTGCACTGCCAGCCTGACAGTTTTTGGAAAGTCATTTTAACAAGCTTTAGATGAAATGGTAGAGGTAGATGAATACTAATTTTAATACATATGATTATATTGGTTCTTTAGAGAGAAAAAGTGTTACAGAATTATTCTTTAGCTAAAGCCTGTCAGTATTTTCTCACCTGTCAGGTTTGATATGGAGAAGATGAGATCACTTCTTTTTGGTTTCAAGTGATGCCCTACTATTACAAGATGGCCCTGAACATATGACATTTATAGAATACTACTGTAGCAAACAAACACTCTCAGCTGACTAATGTAGCTTGTCACCTGAGAGATGCTCTGATGGCCATAACCTGAAAGGGATCGAGATGAAGCCCTTGCCATTTTGTGTGTTGATGTCATAAAGGATACCCTCAGGCTGAGTTGACAGAGGTTAGTGCTGATACAGCTACTTGCCTCCTCTCTCCTGTTATCACTTGATTAACTTGTCACCCTGTGCCACAGTGACAGTGATGTGCCAAAGGTCAGTCCATTTGCTAAAGAGCCAACACTTGACTGAGTACTGCCCAGCTATCTCCAACTGTCTCTAAATAAAAAATTATTGAAGAGATTTGGCCCAAGAACACATGCACTGGAGGCCTCCTGGCTCTCTTCTCTTTACTCTCTTTAAAAGAGAGTTGGCTTCCATTCTATTTCCTTTGGAACTTGTAGTCTACTTACTATGCCCCCAAAGCAGTCTTCTACACTTAAAAAATGACTCATTTTCTCTCTAATAAATCTGCAGAAAAGGTATCATCATTCCTCAAACGATGTGAGAATTCTTTTCTTATAAATGACTTCTCGGGGCTGGGAAGGTGGCTCAGTGGTAGAGCACTTGCCTTGCATGCATGAGGCCCTGGGTTTGATTCCTCAGCACCACATAAGCAGAAAAAGA